TAATTATTTAATTATATAAAACAAGCCCCTTTCCAGCACATTCTTTATTTTTATGTTTATTAAATTAATCCGAGAAAAAAAAGGAAAATGCTGCCATTGTTGACTAAAAACCCTCATGACTCTAATTTCTGTGAACGTAATAGAAAGACTGACACACTTCTCTCCGTGTTCGGAACGTTTCACCACATTTGTGCTAATGAAGTTCGTTTTACGTCTCGTTACTCACAGAAAACAATTGTGGAGCCAAAACCAGGAATTGTTTTCTCTCTGCAGATGTGAGAAAAAAATTCATCTGCCCTTTCCTCTTCATAAATTACTTCCCTGTTTTCACCGAGAGGATTCTGTGCCTCGAGTCACGTATTCAAACATACTGACATTAAACATACTATTGGACAACAGATGACGTCTAATGGTCTCAAACTCACCAACAAATTCTCCGTCCTGTGTCAGAATCAGTGCATTGAAGGAACTGGACGTTTTGTGCAGCATCTGTTGGGATTAGAAATCATTAAAGCTTTAATTAAATCATCTTTTTAACCCAAATTACATAAAAGAAAGAGGGATTTTCTGAGGATCATGGACATAGTTTTGGTTTGAGGAGATTTTATTCTCTACCTCTATGATCAAAGCACCAGATTAAGAAATATCTATTGAAAACAGTAATTTGACTTTGTTCTTTTTCTTTCATTTGTCACCCATGTGCATCTCAAATACACGATTCTATCAGTTTAAAAAGCAATGTTAGTCTACAGGTACAACGCCCTTGTTATCCAGAACAACCCACAGTCGACTATTTTAATTGAAAATGACATTCTGCTGAAAAATAGAAAAGAAGTCCCTCTGAGAACTCTGTGATTATCCAGAGCAGCACTGTGTCTGTGAAGACGTAATCAACGGGGTCATGTTCCGGCCAAACAAAGTCGCCGGAGATAAAAAATCTACCACCGCGGATCTGTGAGGCGACGAGATTCTGACCTTTGACCTTGCTTTCTTTCAGTAGGAACAGGAAGAGGAACTGGAAGACTCATTTTGAAGAGTAGCACAGCATAAATACAAAATATTACTACTCAAGACAGTCGCATCAACATTTCAGAAAAATGCAGCACGATTTCTAAAAAAGAAAACGAAAGAATTTGGCTTATAGGCGACTAATCAATCTCCCTAAAGGTCAATTTAGCCCGTCGAGAGTTTTCAGTGATATCACATGATCAGCACATAAAGCCTGCTCTTTTCTTTTTGCCTTTCACAGACCTCAGTATCGGATATATATTAAGTATATCAAATATTAACCAAACATTTCTCTAATTCAGAAAATGTCTATTAATTATGAATACATCTGCTAATATTCAAGCCTGTGTCTCCGCTGCACCTGCAGAACTGTGTTTACAGTGTTTTTACTTATTCACTCAGTGACTGTGTAACTGCTTTTAGTGAATTATGGCCTCTGGATTTAAAACGGCACTTTTCAGTTTTAATTCCACAGTTATTTACAAACCAACCGCTCTCCCTCTGAAAGTCCCTGCCTGTGTCCAAACTCGATGACATCTGCCACCAATTTACCAGAACACGCCTATCCCGGATACGACTATTAACCAGAGCTGCAAACTGCCACACCCCCAGGGCTGCACAGCTCTCACCACTAACCAGGGCTGGAGGATGAGCCACAGGTCCGAGCCCATCCAGACCGGCCCGACATGGAAAAAACACGACTGCAGCAGGCCTGTAATTTCAAGAGGCTGTGACCTTTAATCATATCTTGATCTACATCCTTTATCCCTGCGTCTGTCGGTGGCCCGGTGCTAATTTGAGACGACGGATGTCTAAAAAGTTTCACCCTGACCGTCGTCCCATGTTTGGTGCCATTTCATATTTTGGAGATGTCTGTGTCAAAGCTCCAAGAACGACCAGACGGAAAAAGACGCTTACATAGTTCTGCCAGCGGTCTGAGGAACCAGAAAACAAAGGTCCAATAATATTGTTTATAAATGTCAAAGCAGAGCGATTTAACCTTGGTGGAGCGTAGATATTCTGCAGGAGGTGAACTCCGACACATGTAGGTGGACACTTCCACATATGCATCAATAAGTCGACCTTCATAACCCACATGATGCAGAGTCACAGACATCCGACAGTGACAGGTGAGAGACAGCAGCGAGTGAGAGACAGAAAGAAAGAAAAACAACAAGAGGAACCCAGAAGAAAACTCAACCGATAACAAGAGGAGCAAGAAAATCTTATCATTATTACTCATCACATTGTTCAATGTCTTTCAGCTTAAACAGAAAAGTATCGGATGCCGAGGTCCTGTTGAGCAAGGCACCACCTTCATGCTGCGTGGAGCTGTGGCCCGAGAGAGAGGGTCTTATGTGCGGACCCTCTCCTGCTTCAAGTCAAACTTCAACCACACAAATTTCACAAGTTGTGTAAATGCCACCACTGCATGTTGCAATAAAACGCTGCTGCAGCCTGCGGTGGCACAGTGGAAAGTTACTGCAGCTCTTCAGCCTGTTTTGGTGATGCCAAATATATAAACCGGTGCAGTGTAGTCATAGAGCATGCTAATGATGAGGAACAACAGCTCCTGGCTTCGCAATCGCCTCTGCTCCCTGTGTGGTGAATGCCAAAAACTAAAAAAAAAACTAAAAGAAACTAAAAAACAGGTCGGTTTGTAATTCAACTGCTGCAGCGGACATGTTCTGATCAGAGGAAAGAAACACAGCAAACTACTGATTCATAATCAAGCTGTCAGCCAAGGACCAAAGTTAGCTATTATCCTTTAAAAAGCACATCATTTATTTTAATTACCGACCATAAATCATTCTGTGGATGTCTCAATTAAGAGAAACAACTGCTCGGCTCCATTAGCGTCTCGAGATAACAAAGCCATTAAGTTCCAGCTCTGCGGGCACAAATGCACAAATCAAACTGTCATTCTTGTCAAAACCCTTCTAAGTAAAGACTGGGAAACAAAGAACAGAAAAAAGGTGCTGTGGCTCTTTAAAAGCGTCTCATAAAGAAAAATGAGCGAGCGCGGCTGCCAGACGCTCAGCGCTTGAGCCAAGCTGTATTAAAACAGGGTGTATTTTAAACAAAGGTTGCATTTTAATAGGGCCAGAGGGTGGCATATCGCAGATAACTGTTGACTTGTAACTGCCGTGTTTAGTGTTGAACACAACCATGGCAACATGGATGCCAAGAGTTCCCCCTCAGCGCTTCCACGAGTCCAACCTGAAACTGTTTTATACGCAAATCAGTCGCAAATGAGAAGTAGATTTTAATTACAGGGAAGAAGAAAAGACCAAAATGTCTTTACACGGGATGGTTTACACAATGAATGTAAATCAGTCTGCGCAGGGTTACACCATCTTCATCATCATCATCATCATCATCATCATCAGGTAGAATACAATTTGTTCAAACACCATCAACTGCAAAACGACATCCCCTGATCTCTGCTGCACCGACTCTGGCTCCGAATGACGCCATCAACCTAAGATGGGCTTGTTTGTATCCAGGATATATTGGCTTCATTTCTGGAAAGGAGGAAGAGGAGATGGGCCGTCCATCTTTATTTACAGCCCGTGCTTTAAACTAGAGAAACCCCGTTAAAAAGCCTGAAATAGATTTCCTGCGGTTCAAAGCCAGACATCGACTCCTTGTGTTTCAAGCCATTCATTGTCCTTTTCTCCATCCTCCAGAATCCTGTCGACCCGGTGACGCGTTCAAGTTCAAACCATCGTGACAAGATATCACATCCAATAAATTCCAATTTACGTCTGAGCGTTTGGTTAATGTCTTGAAGCTGGATCAGGTGACGAGAAGTGACTTTGTGCACCGTTCAGTTTTTTGTATTTGGTGCATGGCGTGCTCCAGCACGTCGCTCACGGGGCACAATGAACAATACAGGAATTATTCAAATTCAAAACCTGAGTTGACCTCAGTTTGAGAGGACGTAGGAGGACACAACATTTATCAAATATGTAATAAGCATCGGTGTTTCCTGTTGTAACCGATACTGCAGCTGGTGAGAGATCCACATCAGTTTTGTTCTTGTGGTTATTTGGCAGTGAGAAGAGATTTCTTTTTTACCACATCATAACACATTTCTACGACTGCACATCCTCCTACTCATCGAAGTGATGGGGCACAACTAACCTGCGCAGGTGGAGTTTTACTGCTTCAGTTATTTCATCCCAACGAGAAGATCTTCAATCTTTGTCCTCAGAGTTCCTGTTTCTCTGAAGCTGGATTCAAACCTGAACTTTCATGTGTTTTATTTAAGCTACACAACGAGTTCTGTTCCTGTTTTTAATAAACGAACTGCACATTAGCTTTAGCTGCTACAATGCTAACACCAGTCTCCCACGATGCTCGCTGAGGTCATCGTCTTTTTCAGCAATTTGATTGGTTGTCAGGCGTGTGACGTTATAACAATATAATTCAAATAATCTATTCTCATTATTTATACTAAAACATTTGAAAAGTTCAGGCTCATGAAAGTAGAATTATTATTTTTTAAAAAAAATAAATTAGGATCATTAATTAATCAATGAATTGATTCTTTTTATTCTATGATAAAATATATAAAATATAACAAGCATTAAAATAAAATGATTGATGTTTGACATGATGTATTGTTATTACTAGTATAGTATATAAGTATAATTTATGCTCAAATATATTAAAAAGTATTATTATATTTTTACTCATTGAAATTATTCAAGCAAAATAAATAAAATATATTTGATCATATAATAATTATCAGTTACCTAACTTTCATAATTTACAAAAAAAAAGTTGAAATACTGTGCTGTGATTGGTTGACCGTGTTTTTAAGGTCGTCCAGGTTGGTTCGCGGTTTCCCTCTCCGCGCTGTCAGTGTCGCTTGGCCCACATTCGGTCCACCTTAAACATTTCTCCTCTCGCGTTATTACGGTGACACACACAAACACACGAGCACGCCCCCCGCGCGCACACACCAGCCGCGTCGGGAGCGCGCGGCGGCAGCAGCAGAAGCAGCGCTGTCAAATCACAACGGAGGAGAAAAAAAAAATCCCTCCGAGGACTTTTTCTTTAACTTTTCACCTTTTAACGCGTGGAACTTTTGCGGTGTTCTGCGGGGAACCGGCGCGGGAGCGGGTCAGCGGCGGGAATATCAAGAGTTACGACAGTTCACGTGCGTCTTTTACGCAGGAGTTGGAAGAAAAAGTGAAGTAGTTTCAGGCACCGGGAGGAGAAGGAGGAGGAGAAGAAGAAGGAGGAGACGGAGGATCCCTGCTTCTTTCACTCCTGGTTATTTTTTTTTATTGTCGTTTTTACCGTCGAGGGGTTTTTCGGTTCTTCCGTCTGGAGGTAGAGATCCTGAAGATCCGGGGCTCGAGCCTCCGTGTCCCTCCTCGCCTGCCGCGAAGCCACCATGCTGCCGAACACGGCGCTGTACGCGGCCAAGAAGCGAAAGAAGCCAGTTCAGAAAATGTAAGTCACGCAAAACCCGCGGTGATCCTAATTATTCTGTTTACGTCGTGTTTACAGTGACCTCATTGTCCGGCGAGCCTGTTGTCTGCGTGTGATCCTCACCAATGAGTTCACGATCCAGTCTGACACGAGCACAACCGCAGCTGTAACCTTGTCAACTGCGTTATTTCGATCGTGCAGCGAGGTTCTGCAGAGATGTTGTGTTTTCAGGTGGTCGCAGCTGAGCCTGCACCCCCAGTCTGCGTCCCAGTCTGAGCTGCATGGGGACCAGGCTGTGCAGCAGCTCAGGAGCTGGCCTCTTGTGTTTGCAATAGAAGCGACATCGTCCTGAGCTCGATCCATAAAGTCTATTTCCCCCCCGCTGCGGTTATGCAATGCTGGCCAGCCAGACCAGAGGTAATGTGAAGTGCCGAAGTCCAGCGGCAGCGCAGGCCTCTCCGCATCCAGCACGGAAAATAAAAGAAAACTGTGGCTTCAGTACTATTTAAATCTAATTATACCATGTGAGACAGCTGGCCCTCTCAGACTGATTCCTGCAAATGGACTCCACTCAGATCTCCTCTCAAGAATCCTCCGTGCCCTGTAGGTGGGGAGGTTGACATCAGGAATATCATCACACCACCTTATGGTTCTACTTGTGATTTAAGTAAACATGCACATGGCATCTCGTCCCCCCCACCCCACCCTGGATTCCCCTGCTCGGTCCCCTGGAGGGCCCCAGACCACAATTTAAGAACTGCTGCTGCACACTGTTGCTCTGCAGATCATTCTTCAGGGTTGCATGTGCTGCATGTTCAGAAAACACCGTGACACGAGCTTTTGCAGGTTGCAGAGTCTGACTGTTCCCTTTAAATGTGTCAGACAACAAACGTTGGCCCTCAGTTTACATACAGATGTGCAAACATCCCTTTTCTAGAACCTTCAGGGGAGGTTCTCCAAACCACAGCGTGTAACGGCTCGTTTATTGACCCTCGGAATCGTCTTGACTTTCAGACGGGTTCCATGTTTAAATCCTTTATAACAGGCCGTTAATGGTGAGATTAGAAAAGGAGATAATTTATATTATAGATGACTAACCTTTAAAACATTATCCCTAATATAAACCTTTTATGGTTCTGCAAAGATCCTTCAGAGGAGTTATCTCTTCGTGGTTTGTTACCTTAAACATAAAAACATCATCGTGCTACAAAGAACCTTCAGAGATGTTCAATTAGAAAAAAGCAATTAAAAATCACTTGAAGGTGCCATTAAGAGCTTTATATGGGTTCTCTATGGGTTAATGTAAACTTCAGCCTTTCATGGTACTTTTTACTTTTAAAAACTTTGTAAAGGTTTTGTAACAGTGGTTCCTCTGAGACATTCACAGTGTTTTAAAGTCAAAGTGAACTTTCCTGTTGTTCAGACCATACGACGAGAAGAGCACAGCAGAACGAAATTACGTTTCTGTGCGAATTTAAATTAATAAAGTAACTTTTAACAAAAACAGACACAGAAGCAAAGAGCTAAAGACAAAGTAAGTTGGTTCTTTAAAGTACGAAGCCTGAATAGTTTCATATAAATCCCTCACGGTCCTCCACAGATCATTCTGAGGAGTTCTCTGTACGTTCACGCTGAAGTTGCTTCTGCCTTTCATGGTACTTTTTACTCCAGTCAGTTTTTTTAAAGCGCACAGTGGTTCCTCTGGGAGCATTCAAGGTCCTGTGAAGAACATGTAGATGGGTTCTACAGAGGCACATGGTTTATTCTAGAGTATTCTGAGGGGGTTCTTGAAAGCCTCGTGCTGTAGTCGTAGTATCCTCGTTCCTCCACGCTGCTGTGAGGAACCCTTCAGGACTGAGGAGCGGCTCTAATCCTCCCTGTCCTCCTCCTCATCCTCTGTGATTTTTTTTTTTTTACCAGTTTGTGATTTTCTAACTTTAACAAGCCAGACAGAGTGTTAACTGCTCCGCTCGGAACCACAGGCTGGAGCCGGGAACCCTGGGAGAACCCTGCCAGAACCGTGGTTTCAGTGTGTGTGTGGTACTACCTGCATTAATCATAATCAGGACGCGGAGCGAGAGCACTCTCACGCAATGTTTCCACGAGGGAGGGAGGGAGGGAGGGAGGATGGCGTAATCTGAGACTCGCTCTGTTTTTTTTCTCCTCCTCCTCTGACTGCCACAACATACTTTTTCCTGTCTTTCCTTCTGTCTCTCTGTGTGTTTTTTTGGGGTTGTTTTTTTCCTCCCTCCCTCGACTCAAATTAACATAGTTCTGTGTCACGCAAACGCTTACGTAAGTCTGCCATGTTCACTCGCCTGGGTTTTTTAGGAAAACTTACTCTCTGGGAATTTATCTTTTTCTTTTCTTTTCCTTTCTAGTGGGGGTGGGTGGGTGAGTTATGAGTGTGTGAGACGGAGTCTGTTTAACCGACAGGCAGGACTGGAGGCGGTGTTACGGCAGAGAACCCTCAGGCACTTCACCTTTTTGTTTACGCTGCACTGTGAAACCAGAACATTCAAATTTATGGTAATGTCTGCAAGGAGGAAAGAAGGAGAACTGTGTTGTTCAGCCGCACAGAAATGTGCACAACAAAGTTTAAATAAGGAGACGAAAGCAGACAGAGACACACGATCTGAGACAAAGCGCTCACCCTTTGTGATTAAGCGTAAGAACGTGACACTGTGCTCATCACCGTTATATCTTACAGGTATTTGCCACCAGAGCTCCAAGCTGTTTTCAGACTGTGTCCAGAAAACTGGGTCAGGGCATTTCCCAGAGTTTGCCTTTCACACACGAAGCGCAGGAGATCGTCCGGGTCACACGAGTTCAGGTGGATCCTGGGTAGAGCAGCAGGAGGAACGACATGTCGTAGAAATCCTGCTGTGGAAATCACACGTTCCTGTTTACAGCACATTAACACCGGCGTCGTCCCTTATCACCAAACGCTGTTGAACCGTGTCTTCTGCTCGAGTTGGCGTCTTTGTCGTCGTCTTGTGCATGTGTGTTGGAAACGTTTGCTATGCATTTCACACACTAATGTTATAAATAGACTTTACACAATGTTTCCTGGATTAATTAAAAGTAATAATGGAGTTTTTCTGCAGGCAGAGGTGTCCCATCAAAAGTTTTATGATGGTGGTCTGTGGGGAAAAAGCTTTTTGTGCCGCAGGGAACATTCATGCTTCAGTCCCACGTGACGATAAAAGTAAATCTTCTTCTTCTTCTTAAACTGGGGAAAGCATTTCTTTGTGCGTTGTCATGTTGAAAGAGGAAAGAGCTTTTCTCCAGAGCTCACTATGCTCTAAAATATAACTTTATGCCGCAGAAGATTTATTTAACTCTGGACTTAAAGGGTAATGCAGTGATCTGCATCAGAGCCAATTCTGATGGGCACAAAACCACGTTTATTAGTTTCTTTATTTATGGCTCTATAAAAGTTGAAAAATGAAATGTGATGATTTATGAGCCCTAGAAAAAAAAGGCTATAGTCAAAACATGAATTTCTATTTAGTTCCGCTTTTTATTTTGATGGTAGGACATCAATTGAGGTTCTCAAAGTCGCAGAATGATGAAATGAAAAGAAGCATAAAAGAACAGAAAGTGGACATTTGTTCCACAGGGGACCTCCGCTGTGCGCTGACAGAGAAATGTGGAGCATGGTTGCACATGCATGTGTTTGTATTCAGTGTTTGCCTGCAGATGAATTCACGAGCCAGATGATTTCTGTTTGTCAGATACAGTGAAAGAGACCGGGAACAGAAGGGTCGCTGCTCTTCCTGCTCGTTCCGCTGCTTCCTCGTGTCGCCGCCGTTGTTTTTGTGTCGGTCTATGGGTAGAACGTGATTTTGGCAGAAGTCGTGCAGATGCATCTTGAGTCCTGCAGCAACAGACGCACAGCTTCTCTCATGACTTACACGTGACGCTCTCCCAAACATCCACTTCCTGGATGTTATGACACCGGCCGGTGCCACAACACAGTCAGTTGTTGTTTTATTCATGCTTTTATTTTGCTGGTTTTTTTAATTCCTGCGTTTTGGATCATAACGATGACGGACGCTCTAATTTCTAATTTGTATGGATGAGTAACGTTATATCTGTAAACACTGACTTCAGTCAGTAAACACAATTAAAACATGCATATCAGTACTCACTAATGCTGGAATGTAGGATTTTCAGACTATTGATGTCGTAATTGATTATTATTGACGTGGTGTTGAGTTTCGTGGCTACACACAACATTATTATACTTTATTAATTATAGATCAAAGTGTTTGTGGAGCTGAATGAACTCAACTTTGAACACATGCACTCTCGGCTCCGTTGTTTCTGAGTCTTATATCTCTGGAGCTCTCACACTCCTCTTTTTTCCTGTATCATAACTCCGGCAGGGAGCAGATGCCAAAATCGTATTTAGTTTCTTTTGTTCCGCTAAGGTGTCGTTTCCCCCGTCGGAGACAAAGTGCCTTTGTGTGAACGCAGGGGAGTGTTTCTTCAAATCCAACACAACTCCACACTCTCTCTCTCTCTCTCTCTCCCCCCCCCCCCCCCCCCCCCACACACACACACACTCTCTCTCGTATATACACGCCCCTTCCAGGACAGATTAAGCAGATAAAGCGAGAAGCAACAACACTGCTCGCTCATTGTTCTCGCAGGGAGTTGTGCCGTCAGGAATGCAGCGATAGCCATCTCGCCTTGATTTCAGATATGTCGTGTTCTGGAGTATTATTGGAAGCAGATGTCTTATTTACAGGAGGGATAGAGGGAGGGAGGGGGAGGGATAGAGGGAGGGAAGGAGGGAGGGAGAGAAGGAGGGCCAGCGTCCACATTTTACACATTTGTGTTGCAGTTACACTTCAGACGTTCCCTCCACCACTGTTCTCCCAGAGGCTGTCTGCCTGAACTGAACATGTCTGCCCCGGTGATTGTGTTATATTAAAGTTTTGGTCCCAAAGTTTGTGAAAGTTTGAACTCCGGTGCGAGTCGAGGCACGAGTCCTCCTGACACGTTTATTTTCGTGTTGTCTCTTTGATGGCTCCTTTGGACTGAACGTATTTTACAACACCTTCTGTGAACATTTTCTTTCCACTTGCAAAGAAACACCCAGAGAACAAAGTCTGTGACTGGCCGGTGAATCACATTCCTTCTTCTGACTCGTTGTTACACATCATCTTCATTTATCGTATTTCCCAGGAAGCCTTTTCTTACCTTCAGGGCACAACTTGATATTGGCAAATAAACCCAGAGCTGTTTACATTGTGTATCCACTGCAGACGGCCTGCAGGAGGTTTTCCGTTAGAGACGTCGAACAAACACAACGAGAGAAGAAGTTATGGTTTCCACAGTTTGACACTTGAAGGCACCGTTAAACCAAGTGTCACTGCCTGTGGGCACACAGAGTATGAGCGGGGGTGGAAGCCAGGACATGTACGTGTTAAGTGGCGTTAAGGTCATTTTGCACGGCTTTCTTCGTCTTTCTCTGCTCTACAGATACAAACCTGCATCCTGTTTTAATTTTAAAGGCTGGTGGAGGAGTGTTGCTTTGCTGGTTTTAGCTGCGACAGGAGGTGGAACTGAACGTCACTGCCTCGGTCATCTGTGGTTCGTCCTCCGCTGCCTCAGTTTGGTGGAAGGCTGATCGGGACGGCCTCCGTTCACCTAAGTTGGCGAATTTATTGTTCCGATGAGAGTCAAGCTATTCGTCTGGTGCAGGTCTAGACTGGAAATTTAAACTTTCCCCCCCCCCCACGTTTGAAAGATTGAATTTATAATGAAATTTTGAAGAATCTAGGTTTGTTTATCTTTCTTTGGAACCAGGTCTCATTTCTGTGCTTTCTTCAGATGAGCAGTCGAGATAAAGATGACTTGTGTGAAAGGGGAATCTTGAAATGACTGGTTTCTTTTCTTGTATCAACTTTCTGTCAAACATGAGTCACTTAAGTCACCAGTGGTTTTCTGATCAGGAATTGACGATGTCAAAAATCGTCCCCGAAAAACAACGTATAAGTTCAGTCGTCAGACTAAACCTCGTCCGTCAGACTGGGTGAAAATCCCCGTGGAGCTCAGGTTGACCCCAAAGCGAGCGGCATCTCCTGGGCCGGCCTCACACCTTCTGTGGGAAAAGAGAAAAGCCCCTCTGTGCAGCGGAGGTCTGGTTTGAGTTACAGACGAGAAGCCGCTGGGTTTACCGCCGGTCACCGGAGTCCATTTACAGACACAGACCTGCCGCTGAGCTTCATCTGTCCCGACGACGTCGACCTGCAGCCGAAGCCTGAGCGAGGGGGGGGGCGTTTACCACGTTACACAAGTTAAAACAACAAAAAAACGTGTCAGGAATTTCAATATGAAGCAGACGGAATCAATTTCAAGTCAAACCCGACAAATATCCTTTTAGAACTTCCTGCGTTTCTTTATTATTTTCTTTATTAGCTGAATATCTTGATTTAAAATGAAGCATCCTCGATACGGGTGCCGCCATCTTGCTCCCTTGATTCTTTTCGCGGTGTCTGAAGTCAGCAGGATGTTCTGAAGAACTCCATCTTTGAACTTTCAGTTTTGTGTAATTTTTTAAATGGCGGAAATCAGATTCAGGAAGGAAACTGTCCATTTCCTCTCGCTCTCTCTCGCTCTCTCTCTCTCTCTCTCAGTAAATGTGTAAACACCCCATGACTCCTCACATCCAGAGAAACGACTCCAGCTGAACGTGACCGAGCGGAGTCGAGCGCCCGGGTGACAACACGTCCCTGAGCAGGTGACGTTCACCTGGTTCCCATGGCAACAGCAGATGGAGCTCCTCCACAGCTGTGCCTCCGGAGAGAGGAGGTGGTCGGGGCTTTGTTGTTGTTCACTCGGCCGGCGTTTTCTCTCTGCAGTCGGCTCAAACTAGCTTCTTAACTTAATTTGCACACATGAAATACTAGTATCTGTGTCCGAGGTCCTCATTAAATGTGCTGCAGGTTGTGAATTCATGTATATTTCTATACATGTAGTGTTTACCATTTGGTGTATGGAAGTTTTTAAAGTTGGTGCTGAATAGTCTCATTATTTCACTTTCACCTCGTGTCTCATCTGTTGCAGTCGTCAGTGTCACGTCTCTGTTGTTTTATTTGCTTGTTATCTCAATTTGTCCCAGCTGCTGCTGCGCTGACGCACACAGACGTCAGTTAACAGAACATATTTAGCCTGCAGCTCATTGGTTGTACTCATCGTGACCTTTCTCAGTCTCAAACTCCGGCTCTGACTTTCAAGGGAAACTGACCTTTTAAAAAAGACGAGTCAAGCTTTTTATTTTCTACTAGATGTTTATTTTTGACAAACCATGTCCTAAATTAACCTTCTGCTCTCGATGTTAAATCCTTTTTTTTTTTTTTATTTTGTGTCCACAGCCCCAAACCTCCACCTCCCGATGGCATCAAGTCCAACCCGTCCAAACGCCACCGTGACCGGCTCAACGGGGAACTGGACAAGCTCACCAGCCTGCTGCCCTTCCCCGAGGAGGTCAGGGCTCGGCTGGACAAGCTGTCCGTCCTCCGCCTCAGCGTCGGCTACCTGAAGGTCAAGAGCTTCTTCAATGGTGAGTGTGGAAACATCTGAAACTCTCACAGGCTGCATCACCGAGACTTTTAATTTATTCCGTATTTTGCCACTGAAGCAGCTCAGGTATGAAACCCTGCATGTTTTTAACTGAGATATCAATTTTATATTCATTTAACTTTTCTCTGTGGCAGAAACTGGAAGTAGATGAAGTATTTAAATTATTAAATGGCAGGTATTTGGACTAAAACATTCAAAGTCAACCCTCATACAACAAATGCTGCATTTTGTGGAGGCAGAGAAGAATAAATAGACTTTTAACTTCAAATAATGAAGGTTAATTAATCTGTCTTTATCTTTTTAATGGAGCTTCTTTTGTATTTGCAAAAATCATCGACATCTTGAATCTCGAAGTAGAATAAGTGAATTACCAGACAGAGATTACATGGCTAAGAAGAAAACAGGCCAGCTGTTTGTTTTCCAAATGTTGCTGTAAATCTCTGTTAACAATTACTTGAAAAAGAAATAAACTTCTCGGTTCTTTAACAAAAAACAAAAAAAAAAAAAGAGGCGAATCTCTCCTCTGGGAACCAGGAGGTTATTTATAAAAAAAAAAATGAATTCTGCCCTATTTCTGTCAACATGGCGCTGGGAGGTTATTCCAGTTTCCATCCAGCTTCCTCACATTGTTCTGCGACCTCTTTTGAAAATAGCAGCAATTAGATCCAGAAAGCCTGAAAGATGAGGTTCCTATTTACAGTGTGTGTGTGTGTGTGTGTGTGATGTAACCTCACAGATAGTGTATTCCCGTATATTTGAAGCCGTCCTCCTCAGCAACAGGAGGTGTGAAGTGGAACGAGAGGAGGCGAGCATTTCTCAGTACGTGTTGCCAGGGCGATGATACACACACACTGTACTTGCTTTGGGGACATCGGCCTGAATGCACAGTTACCCTCAGAGGCTCGTGTGTGTGTGTGTGTGTGTGTGTGTGTGTGCACCTGTTGCACGTGGATGTTGTGCTCCGCACGACTCGTCGGAATTTCTACAGAAAACCTGGCAGGAAAACATTTGCGATTGTCGGAAACTTTTTCTCCGGTGATCGATGAGCTGAGGGTCTGTTGACGACACTTCTGCTCTGGGGAAGTTCAACGGCCATTTGCACGGTTTCTATTCTACATTATACAACATTTTTCAGACTAAACAATGGAGTGATTGATTTGATTGGATTGACGTCACGGACTTACATCATTACTGAGGGAAGAATCCAGACAAAGTCAACGGCAGCGATGCAAACTGAGAATAACTGTTGATTGGTTGAACTGAGCAGATTCTTTTCACGGAGACATTGTTCAGCCCTGATTTCGGTCTCGGTTTGTGTAAAGTGTGTTTTTACAGACGTCAGAGCCCGTTTGCTTCGGACCCATTAATTATTCGGCAGCGTCGGCAGCGTAGTGTCGACTGAACAGATGCGTCGGGAGTCTGGTTACTCACCCAGGGCTTTTATTTTGAAAGGAGAAGAGAGGAAAGAGTCATTGATAAAACCCATCTTCTGTTATTGGAAATGAAAACTCTTTAACGTTGTGGATATTATTATCCACTCTCTCGGTGTGACTCAGGGTAACATGGGTCCAGTATTCCTGAAGCTTGAGCAAATCATTTGGATTAACCAAGAAACGAACTGACGGATTAATCGATGATCCATCATAAGCTGCATCCCTGTGTCATCATACCACCAGGCATGTGTTTTTTTATTTTGACAGGTACTCAAGTGTTTAGTGGGATAATCCAAACCACATTCAAAATCCATGTTGGCACGTTCTCCCCAGATCTGTGCAGAATTACCCACTGAGCGTGTCGCAGAGTTTTATTCCAGCTACCTCGCCCAGTAGCAGCTTATTTGGTTTTTGAATGTGACACACACCCGCAGGTCATGACAGGTTGAGAACAGATTTATCAATAAGGACGAGATGAATGCCTATTAGCAAAAAAAAATTCATAATAGCTATTGAGATCACACACACATATACAAACACTTGTCGCTCCACCCGTTTCTTGGCCACTGATCCGTCACCTCTACCATCGAGCCACACCCGTTTCCTGTGGCGGCCCCTGCAGCACCCCGGGGCCCCTTTTCCTCCGACTGTTCAGCCCTTTCCCCTTCGGCTCCGACGTCTGAGGTCCGCAGCTACGCTCCGCTCGCCGCCCCGCTCCAGCTCAAACAAACGCCGCAGGACTCCAGTGTGTTGTTACAGCGGGGGGCAGGCGGGGGGCGGCTTGTTAGCACGGCAGGTCTGCGGCAGGACAACTCAGGGCTTTATCCATTCATGAAACCCTCCAACGCACACACACACACACACAGTTCCCCCAATTTTCCCTCGCCCTTCAAAGGTTTCTTTTAAAGTGGACATTAAACGCATGCATCAGACTTCGCTGAGAGCCCATCGCGGTGCATGTTATTATCTGCATTTGATGTAAAGTATTATTACTGATGCTTTTGAGGTTCTGTGTAATGACAGGTCCGCTTCTCCACCTTCAGGCTACATCCACTCTCATATACCTTTTTCTCCTTAAAACTAAAATGAGCTTTTAGCTCTGCATCGGTAATAATATCGTACTGACACACCTGAGCACTCATATCACGCGGCGTAAACAGGAAGCAGATTTGTCGATCAAGCATTAAATCAATCATCAACCTTGGTCGTAAAATTTTAATTTCCTGATATCTTTTCATCAACTGCAGTTTATGAGCCGAGTGTCTGGGTTTTTATATTTATACAAGGTAAAGTACTCATAGATAGTATAGTGTGGTTAACTGTACACGTTCTCCAGGTCTCTCCTGGTATGTGCTGATAAATGTTCCAGCCTAATAATGGTCATAATAATTATGACTCTTCGTCCATTCGTCCTCTGTGGATCTCTGTCTTTGCTTCGCTCTAATTGCGATAATAGACCGTATTGATTTTATTACATTAAACATAAAAGTGCTTTAACGGTCAAATAAAAGCCAGGCATCAAAGAGAGGCAATTATTAAAAGTGTAGAGGGATAAAAGCACCAGGACGGAGGGTAGAAATAATCGTGCAAACAGTCAAAATAAAAGACATCGTGCAACGAGCAAGTCCATAAAATTCAGTTTACAAGGTTTAAAAGGTAAAACTGATGCACTGCAGCTGCCCGAGGATTTAAGTTGAAATGAGGCCGTCTCCTTCTTACACTAAAGTTCACCAGGATCTGTTTCTGCCGATATCTCGATTTCTCAAACTGCACAAAGTTGTTGATATCTAGAAAGGAATTAGTTTTACTTAATATTACTTAAGATACAGAAAAATGAGTCGTTCTCGTCAGGTTGGATCTGTAAAAATTAAATGTACTAATCAAAAATATCAGAGCTTTTCTCACATGAACAGTCGTGGTATGATTGATGTTTGTAGATCATCGTCTTTCTGTTCTTGGACTGATGAATGAATGAACATGGAGGATCTTCTGTGAAGTCATGTTTGGAGCCGGGGCAGCGACAGGACAGGAAGTGGCTTCGATATTCTTAGAGTGCAGACTGAGCTTTTTCCAACCATGCCATCTGGGCAATTAGCATCTTTTCTTTTTTTTCCGTGCAGAAGTACAACATGTGGACGAACCCAGAAGTTAGATGTTGATTCATAGCTTTAAGTTCTAAAAACGTCTAAACAATGGTCTGAAAAGGACAGACGCTGTTAAAGACGGCACAGACGTGAAGATCTGTTTTTTCTCCATCACGTGTTCCCTCATGATGAACCTCTCGACCTCCCAGGCTGAGAGAACCTGATGTTTGTATTTAAACATTCAAGGAGCTTCGTGGAGATTTAGAGCACAATAGGAGCTCCAGGTGTTTGGATGGATATCTGCCAAAACAACCAATCTATTAATCAACGAACCGCTCAAACGTATTGAGAAACGAAGCCGCTGTGGTTGATTGTGGCCCTAAAACATATTTGCTAATGTGATCAAAGCGATAAGCGATTTCTAAAAATCGTCCATCACGACTTTGTAACTCGTCACGTGACACGAATGATGCAACAGCGAGAAAAGCTCTGGTTCTGCACGAGAGAGTGAAGACGCGACCGTGTTAAAGCTGCACAGTCTTTTGTAAATGAGCATCGCAGCCTCGCTGCCCACATCGCAATTAAAATAGATTTCCAGTCGGAGCTCTGCAGGCGTCAGAGAAACAGCAGCGCAACAGTCACCACAAATTAAATCAAGATATTCCCTCCATTCCCAGGACAAACATTTACTTAAGGGCAATAAAATTCCTCCTTCTCATCACATGATCTGAAGCCGGCGTCAGAGGAAAAGTAAACGGCAGCTCCGTCTGATCATTGGACTGTTAAATATAGATTATTGATCCATTTAATAGGTTCAGGTCCACTCAGTGTTCCCATGAGCTAACTTTTTTTTGCAGATATTTAAAATACTTGAGCTCTTACCGCTCTATTTTAAAAACCCTCTTTTCTTTCAACTGATTAAGCTAAAACCTAAATGTGAAACGTAAACATCCGACATGTGCAGCTCTTCTATTTTGGTTGCGTGTTGCATTATGGGTCATTTTGGTCGTCAGCCCGCAGACGAGGAGTGACTTCATTTGTCTGCTGAAAGAGAAATAATGACATTCACAGATTCTAAAAAGCCCAGACTGACTGAGCGTCTGCGGCCTCGGTGAATCCCTCATTGTGACGAGTCAGAGTCTGTGCGATGGTGAATTTCCCAGCATGCCTGTCAGCGAACAAAGACGACCCGGGAGTGTAAAGGCTCATGCGAAGGCCAGGCCGGCACGTCGGAGCAGCAGGAAGTGGCTGAGAAAGGAACGCTCTGTGTCCGTCCTCCCGTCCCTGTCTCTAACCGAGCCGCAGGATGGGGCGGAGAGGCCACTGGGAAACGCCTGGAGGTTTGATCCCATGGCCGACGCTCACAACACCGGCATTGTTCAACGCCATGAACGTTTTCTGAACCAGACCTCCCTCATGTTCAGACACGGCTCTGTTCGTCAGTGTCTCCGTCTCGGACTCTTTCTCTGCTTCGCTTTGATTGTGGAAATGATCGTTGGCCT